CATTTAAAACCATCAAAACTGAGATTGATCAAAATCAAAAACACATTATTTATCTACAACTGTAGTTAGTTATACTTTGGGGAGAATGTTCTTTAGGTATACAATGTCGCTGTAATATTTAGTGTATTGTTTGTGAGCTACGGAGCTGCGTCAATATGGAGACACGATTGCTGCGGTTAATTTCCATAAAAGAGTTAATATAATGATTTTTTCTGGTATAAAAGCTTACTTTTAAAAGCAATGTATCAAACTTTCACCCTTGATGATCTTCTTTAGACAGATCTTTTTGTGTTTCAAAACGTAGAAAAATATATCGTGGGAATTTTGGCTGAAAATGTTCATACCTTCAATGTAGTCCTTTGTCGCGCTAATGGAAAAGCATACTTTTTCTATTATACAGTGTTTGAATCTTAAGGCGCTTTATTGATGCATAAGGATTACACTGTTTAATAAATTTAACGTAAAAAATTACCAAATATTTAGACATATCATCGTCGTGTGCGCATACGCAGACCCTTTTAATTAAAAAATTCATATCTATGAGATTATATAGTTTTGGAGTTTAAAGATTTTATATTCACAGATTCACATCCATATTATTGTATAGCCATATTTCTCAAAGATTGGAAGAGTTCCTTTTCTAAAAAATAGATCAGTATCGTGTACAACTCGTGTACTTTAACCTAGTGTAAAAAGTGGAAATGGAAAAAGTGGAAATTAGTGGTGAAAAAGTATGCTTTCGTACTTCCAAGATTCCACTGCCATTTTTCGAGCTACAAATTTCGGATTGGTTTCATAAAATTGAGAAATGCTTTTTCTATCTCACGACAACGCTGATTTTTGAATTTAAGTTTAGTTTAGGAGAAATTTAAAAAGTTTCCGACAAGTTAGAGAGATTTTATTTTCTTTTCGCAAACTTTTTAAATTTCTCCTAAACTAAACTTAAATTGAAAAATCAGCGACGTCGTGACATAGAAAAAGCATTTCTCTATTTTCTGAAACTATTCGACATTCCTAGCTTGACAAATGGCGGCGGAATCTTGGACGTACGAAACGCTATAGTCGCAAAAAGAGGTTTTGAGAAAAACGTGAAACAATTTTACGAAATGACAAACGAAAAAGGAAAGAAATACAATAATAGTTCAACATAGGTTTTTGCGTATGCTAAGTCCAATGAACGTATGAGACATGTGTGACATGTATTTTTGCGTATGCATGCAGTGATATTTCAATAAAAAATAATTTTTTTAGAATCAGTGTCTTTCAGAAAACCAGCTCAAAGTTTTTGTGCTTCAAATTATTTAGGGAACATTTATAAAAATTTGCCAGTAAACTCAAACTGTCCAAATTTGACACTCTCCCTACATTCCGATGGCCCTCCATTGTGTCAGGTTGGAGGTAAGACTGAAAGGCACTAACTTTTAGGGTTTAAAATCTGCAACATCTTATCTGCTTTTCTCGTTAAGGCAAATCGATTTGGCCAGTTCAGGCTACTCTCATTGAATTACCGTATCCTGTTCGTAACTGGAAAAATGCTGTTATGCTGTTTGGTAGTTGGCTAGCCAATTCAAAACCAGACAAAGAAATTTTGTTTTCCAATATCATTTTACAAATAGAAACTCTACTTCGAAATGGAATAAAAATTAAAAATTCGAATGGAGATCTCATTCATTTTAATATGCGAATACTGTTCGCAGTTTTTGATTTACCAACACGTTCACATCTTCTTAATATTATTCAGTATAACGGATATAATGGGCGTGGAAACTGCAAAATCCCTGGTAATTCTGTCAACAAACAAGTCCGTTTTCCATACTCTGAAACTGATTATGCAACGAAAGATCATCAGTTTTATGTAGAAACTGGCAGACAAGCGTTACTACATCATAATATTGCCGAAATCAAAGGCACCACACCACTATTTGATATATTATTGCTTCCAGTCATGGTTCCTTTCGATGAAATGCATTTAGTCTATATTGGACATTTTAAAACATTAATAAAATATTGGGATAGTATGTTTTCTAAAGTTTTTCAAGAAGCTTCAACATTTTTATCCTCTATTATACTACCACATGTATTATTAACAGATTTCACGCAGTGGAAAGCGAAAATGTTTCGTGCCTTTTTCCTGTTTGCCGCAGCACCTTTCGCCGTATTCTATCTGCCTGATCGTTTCGCTAATCACTTTCTGAAATATTTTGTTTTTATCCGATCTCTGCATTATTATCATTCAAAGCCACATCATCTCGAATTGAAAGAATTAATTAAAGAATATCAAAAAGATATGTCAGTATTGCATGGGAAAAGTTCGGAACTGGCAACATCACATTATCACAGTCATTTAATCCAACAAGTGCATGATCTTGGTGGTCTTGCTCTGACTTCTTGCTTCGTAAGAGAATCATTTCTTGCTGACACTTTAAAAATGGTGTCATGGTAAGACGTATGTTTTGAAGCAAATGGCGTCGCGGTATGAAATCAATCAACAGTCAATAGATTCCTCTTCACTTTCTTATCATGATCTTTTCTTGAAGGAAGTACTTTTAGGCGAATCATTTCTTTCTGGCTCTACTTTTCACTCCCTTTCTTCAAAATTCACTAATTGTGCTGAAAAAATGAAGATTTCTCTTATTCATTGTAAAATTTTTACGAAATACCGTCGTGGACAAACTCAGTTTCATTCTCTGTGCTATGTTCGTAATGGATTTGCAGTCAGTCACGATATATGTATACGAAACTTTAAATGTAAACAGGATTTTAATACATGTTTTGCCGAAATTCAGTTTTTTTTTCTGTTTTAATGACCAAATGTACGCTTTTCTTAAAGAATTTCTTTGTGTGAAACAAAGTTTAACCAGTTTTATGGAAACAATCATTGTCTCACAGAAAGTTCTAGAATATATCAACAATTTTTATAGATTTTTTGATTCTCGTAAGAGTGTTTATAGAATCGTATCTGTTCAGGATATTATTCGAAAAGTAATTCGAATACCGACGATGGAAGAGCACGTTTTTATGTATACCGAGATAGATTTCGAGAATGAACATGATTAAAAACTATTTTTAGTTGAATGTCTTTTTTTTCTTTTTATATTTATATATTATATAAATATATAATAAATGAAGTGTTTATTTCTTCGACTGTGCACAAAAAAAGCGGTGATGTAGTTATCAAGTCTCAGCGGACATATCTTTTAAAGATGAGTGAAGAAAATTTCATCTCGAGAGTGCTGTACGAAAGTTGAAGAAAACGAAATCACTGGCTTGCACTTCTAAACAGCAGTTACAATTTCACACGTTTATCATTAAAAATTTATATTTCTGTTCCATTGTTTATCTCTTTCTAGATTATAATCTAGAAAGAGATAAATAATGGAACAGAAATATAAATTTTGTAAATTTTGAGTAAATGTACTGTGATCACCGAACGCTTTTAGATATAAATGATCACCAAAAACGATACTTTTGATCACCGAATCTTTTAAAGAGTTGTGAAACTTCATCATCTCTTCTTCATTCATAATATCAGTCAAACTTTTTCAACAAGTTTCTCGATTTCAAAGAATGTTCAACAATTCTTGTCAAGTTTTTTTGAGGAATCTGCCTGCAAAAATCATTGATCAAGATCTTGTCAAGATTTGAAAAATTTTCTGTAATTAACAACATCTTTGCTAACAAAGAGAGTTAGCAATCATTTTCATTACGAGGTTCGACAAAATGTAAATATGCCAACTGTGCATATATTTATAGTTATTGTAGCAGTACAGTGTAGAGGACTTCTGCTAAAATTCTGTTGGTCGAGAGAGTAGACAAATAAATGTGTTGTTCTTTCAATCACCATTTTGTTTGACATTGTTCTTGCATATATAAGAATAAATACTTGCACTACAGAACATTGAAAATTTTGAAAGCGAAACTCAAACATTGTGCTTGAATGTATGGTTTCTCGTGCACTTTCAACAGCTCTGGTACTGTATGCATAGTATCGTAGAGCTTACACTGTAGTGATACAGTAGAGCCTGTACTGTATAGTAGTGATACAATAGAAAAAAATAAAAATATAAAGTAGAAAATAAAATTTAAGATTTTCTTTCAAATTCTCAAATCTGTTAATGAAGATTCTGATTATTGCGTATTAGATTAATCAATTCAGAATTCTTGAAATATCTTCACAAGATTTATCACGACAGATTCTGATACAAAACTTGTGGAAAATCTGCAGCATTGCCTTCCACTCAGAATCTTGACAGATTTCGATAAATCTGCACAAGTTCTTGAAAGATCTTTATTACCTAGGAACAAACATCATAACAGGTTCGGAAAAAAATATGCTTTACAACTGCAGTACGCTAAGTTAATTCGCAAATATTGTTATTTTTAACTTGCGAACAAAATCGTCCGATGACAGTTTCCTAAGGAGAAAACTACAGGATGCCATTAAATATCCTGCAGTTTTGAAACATGCTTCAGAGTCTGTAATTTATTTTTTGCTACATATTAGCGCCAGCTAATGGGTCAAGTCACAGATGGGTGATAGTGACTGAATCAGCTTCAGTGGCTATATGAAATAATAAAACATGTTTCTCACAGAATTTTTATATTATACTTAAATGTTTGTTAATATTTGAAGGGTACTACGCGAAAAGTTTACTGTTTACTTTCAAAAAAAATTTAACGGTGAAGGAGCTAATTTTCACCGAAAAAGTTTTGTTTCTAGATAAATGCAGAATCATATTGCGTAATATAGCAGGTATCAAAATCCATAAAAGATTAGTCGTTATTGACAGTTTTTGTAGGATTTTCTCGAATCTATGTGTGTTTATTTGCGAAATTTAAGCATATAGCTAATGCGAAAGCTGGCCGGAAAAACTGCATAGAGTATAATGACCATTCCATATGCAAAATTTTCTTGATGAGGCGTTGCTGTCGGTGTTTATTTCAATCAAATTCTCAGTAAACTAGCTCCACAACATGACTAACTGGTTTCTGAATAGTTATAGTGAATGCCTTTCTTTTTTAAATAACTGTTCATACAAGCTAGGCGGTGCATCCAGATTGCTGATATGTTCAGAGGCGACGGTAAGAGTGGGTTTTTTCAATATGTTGATCATAGGCACGTTGAATCTTCATGTTGATAGGGTTGTATGTCACTAGTCACCATCAATTCTACTATCAGTGCGAAAAAGCAACTTTCCTGGATATTTTTTGAATAACTTTCGACAGGGAAGAGATAGAAACCTGCAGTTTTCACTGCCGTGTAGATAAGACTTTAAGACCCAAGTAGAACGAAAATTCTCAGCCCGATGGTGTACCACATGGAGCTTTGAAAGATAAGATGGTCAGACTATGAAAAAGTAATGAATTTCAAATTCAGATATCATAGACTGATAGCCTACATGTAACTCTAAAATTCAACACAAGTCCCAACTCCGTAGGTCTTATAGTCCTAGAGATATAGACATTCTCCGATGATCGTTCTGTCGCGTTCGAGAACGTCTAAGTAGTTTTCCCGGCCAGTTTTCACGTCGGCTATATGTTTAAATTTCGCAAATAAACACACATAGATTCGAGAAAATCCTACAAAAACTGTCAATAACGGCTAATCTTTTATGAATTTTGATACCTGCTATACTGCGCAATATGATTCACCATTTATCTAGAAACTAAACCTTTTCGACCAAAAATTAACTTCCTAGAGGTGGATGGAACCCCTTTAAATAATTTCCTTTTTATTCCTATTGTTGTTGATAGCCCAGCACACAAGCTGAGCTTCATTTAGAGCATAAATATTCGACATTCGACATTGTGTTTTCCCTATTTAAATCGCATGCAAACTCAACCTCATCTGACTCACTGAAGAAGAATCGATGTTCACTAGTGACATACGGCTACATAGACATACAGACCAGAGACGGCAGAACGTTTTCAAATGGGGTCAGGCTCAGCATAAGGAAGTCCCTTATCGAAAACAAATTTTTTTCGCGTTTTTCTTATATCAGACATTGCTTTCCTTTCTTCAATACAACAGAAGCAAACTCGCGAAAACATTTAAAATTCTATATCAAAACGGGGTAAGGCTCAGCTTAAAAGAGCTAAATCCGGGTAAGGTTTAAGCCTTACCGACCCTAGCGGTTCCGCCGCCTCTGATGCAGACTGAACCTAATCTAACTAGACAGAAAAAGTACAATGAACAAAGAGGAACATTAGCACAAAGTATATATGATAGAACTACAAGAGGGTTCAACTACCACAAGCAATCAGTGAAGGGCTCCTACTATCCATTTCAAAATGTAGTGTCCTCCGATGTTTCTTGAATAACTTTGGAATAGAAAGAGATAGAGACCAGTGGTTTTCGTTTTCCGGTAGTAAACACCGCTGGACATCGATCTGTTAAAAAGTCAAAAGTTTCCGACAGGTCTACCAAGCTGTACTACGCTTACGGAAAACTGCAGCATCCGCATTCCAAAAAAATATCATAACAACCTATACTTTAAAAACGTCTCAAATATAGAGTGACATCTTCTCTTTACATCTGCACAAGTCTGAGACCTCCATCTACCACGGTTCGGAAACTGCAGCGGTTCTCTGAAGACCTACCTATCCGATTAGCCAGAGGAATCTTAAAAGTATATGCAAACATAGATTATCAACCATGCTGAATCTCTTGGTGATGTTTATTTTGTGATCCAATGACTTTTGTAACGAAGAATTTTAGATATCACAATAATACAAGCTAAAAATTTTATCTCTTTTTGTAAATACAAAAACTGATCTTAAACGTTTAAAAACTAAGTCGAAGTTAAGACAAGAAAGAGTATGTTTTTGTTTGCAAAAAGAGATAAAATTTTTAGCTTGTATTATTGTGATATCTAAAATTCTTCGTTACAAAAGTCATTGGATCACAAAAT